ACAAGAAGGACATGGAGCCACTGGAGCGGGTGCAGAGGAGGGCCACGAATATGATCAGAGAGCTGGAGCACCTCTGCTATGAAGACAGGCTGAGAGAGTTGGGGCTGTTCAGCCTGGAGAAGAGAAGGCTCCGGGGTGATCTTATTGCAGCCTTCCAGTACTTAAAGGGGGTCTACAGGAAAGCTGGAGAGGGACTTTTTACAAGGCCATGGAGTGATAGGACAAGGGGAAATGACTTTAAATTGAAAGAGGGCAGATTTAGATTAGGTATAAGGAAGAAATTTTTCACTCAGAGGGTGGTGAGGTACTGGAACAGGTTACCCAGAGTAGTTGTGGATGCCCCATCCCTGGAAGTGTTTAAGGCCAGGTTGGATGAGGCTTTGGGCAACCTGGTGTAGCGGAGGGTTTCCCTGCCCATGGCAGGGGGTTGGAACTAGATGATCTTTGAGGTCCCTTCCAACCCTAACCATTCTATGATTCTATGACCAGCCAGGTGCAACATAGGTTCTCCCTATAGAGTCACACATTCAATATAGATGTAGTCCCTGGGAGCAGAGAATATGGCATACCAAATGCAGAGCTACCATTATCACTGCCTATGCACAGCACACACTTCTCTTATAGTTAGAAATAGTTAACAGACATAGAAAGAGCACATGCAGAGCTGGTAGATATGCCCAATTGAACGAATCAGTTTATATATTTTAATCCTTCTTAAACAGGTTTATCCTCCAAAGAGTTTCTCATTTCTTCTTCTTTTCCATGATTTAGCAGCCAGGAATCTTACGGCCCTACTGTGCTTAGAAGGAGGCTCCAATTTTTTATTTCTAACAAGGTTTCCAGCAGATTTTGAATGTCATACAAGTATTCTATTTGCACATTAACTTCTTTCAGACTGAACACATCCAGAGCTAAATTATTATCCTTGAGAGCCATAAAGGCAAGAGAGCCATCACCTCCTGTTCTGTGGAAGGCAGCATCATTCTTGGGCAAAGTTTAACAGACACTTTTCTTCTAAAAACCTGCATTTGAGAAACATTTAAATGTTTAATTCTCTTATTCCCTGCCAAGCAGACTTCCAGACACTTGCCATTGGGTGGGAGACCTATAGCCACATGCACAGGAATAATCCAAAATTTTAAGCGTGCATGGTTTAGGCAGCCAAACTGAAAGCAGCTGAACTTGAACTCTCAAGTCTATAGATTTGGCTACTTTGAAAACCTAGGACTATAGAACAGTGTTCATCTCAGAACAGCTGTGAAATTCCAACAACCTGCCAGATAACAAGGCATTTTGAGACAAAGAACTGAAAAGGAACAAAGGAACAGTATCGCAGCTGTCAGAAATATCAGGACTATATTCATTAATAATTCTCAATAACTCATAGAAGACACAGGACTGCTGCAATCCTTAGGAATAAATGGAATATTTATCCTTCGACCGTACTTCATGTGCAACTACTTTTAATATGGCATTCTGTATCTGGTGATGTTTTATATGCAAGCTGATTCAGTTTTCTTCATAGACATACAGCATGCTACTGAGGAAGCATCAAATGCCAACAAAGATTATTTCAATCTGCAAATGGAAGCAAAGGTATAGCCTGTCCCATTGCGTGATGAGCTCATCATGCTGAGGGAAATGAACACCATACAACTTTGCCTTGTAAAGGCTTTTGATGGCGCTTTCATCCAAGAACAATAAACAAAAATTTGGCATGATTTCTGTCACACATAACATCATCATCAGTCATTTAACTCAAACATCAAGATATCCATTAGATAACTGCATATCCAATAACATACATACATGGAAAGATACAGGCCATATGCTGATTGGAAATTTTATAGTAAAATTTGATACTTATTTATACTGACCTTTGCCATTTTCTTGCAAAAACAGCAATTATCCTTCCAACATATAGATGTATCTAGTGTGATAGTTGTCCATGAGAATTCAGTATATTTCATGAAATAACCTTGTAATAATATTAAACGAGTTTGATGTACTTGGCAATATGTTGGATGACATAAATCAACCAAGACAATCATCCGCACAAGTTTTGAGATACCGCAGGGATCATCGTGGTACCAGAATATTACAACTGATGTCCATAGCCACCTGATGAGACACAACAAATCCTATAATACAAGTGATATTTATTGCAAACCTCCAACGAAGTCTTTTTCGGAAAAAAAAGAAAAAAACAAACAAACAAAAGAATATCCAAAACACAATAAAACCAAAAAAAAAAGCACTCTACTTTGAGAACTGAGGAAAAATTAAAAAAAAAAAAAAAGTACAAAAGAAAGATTAAGATAATAATTGCAAAATTATCTAAGTATTCTAACAAAATTTGAAAATCTCTGTCATAAAACTTATAGTAAAACAATCCCAGCTGGAAAAAAGTAATTTTGAGAGGATGAAAAGAAGTTAGGTAATAAGAATACTTTTATCTCCCTTGAATCAGAATTGTGCTCAGATCTCGGTTTATTAACAGTAGCTGCAATAGCCAATCCTGTGGCAGAGAAGATGTTTACGAACCAGAAGACATTTGATGAACCAAAAAGCACATATGAAACAGCTGTGCTGCGAGACACAGATGTGTAATTTCTGAGCTTCTCATCTTCATCATCATGTCCGCACCTACTGCTGTCCACTGACTCTATTTGGATCTGATCTGTTAAGTCCCAGTGGCCTGAAGAGAAGAGAAATGCTTATAGAACACTTAACAGGACTCACAGACCCACAACTCTTGGGTGGAGTTTTCCAGTTTACTCACTCAGATCTTTAACAATGAAATTTAGGTATCTGATGAGTCATTCTGCATAGTTTAATTACTTGCACCCCCCATAGAGATGACACGAATGATAAATTTCACTGAGGACATGCAGGTGAAGACCCTGTTTAATTAGGTTAGGCGCTTCGCTCTTTCCATTGACTGTATGAGAATCAAGGAGCCTCCAGACATTGATCTAGTCCCTTTAATTTAGAATTTTACTTCATGTAGGAAATACAAAACATTTAATACCTCTTTCTGCTCCATTCACATCTAATGAAACAGAGTTTCAGTAGACTTCTTCATTAGGCTCGAAGAGGAAAAAAAATCTACTTTATTAGGGCCTGCCTTTCAACCACAAATTGGGTAGAGCGCTTACACAGCAAATGTCAGCTTCATTGCTCTCAGTCTCACTAAGTCCACATGTCTTTGTCCCAAAAGATTTCTCTAGTTGCAAAGCCATGGGAAATTGAATGCTCCATGACACCTTCTAAAGCAGAGCCACAGGCAGAGAGGATTGCAATACTTGCAAGACCAGAAGCAGAGGTGCTACCATGTACCTTGACTGAAGCTGCTGAGACTTCAGCACAGTGAAAAAGTTAATCCCTTTCCATGGAACAGCTTTTATTTTTGTAACCAAAGACTACTATAAAATACAGAATAGAAATACTCTATATGGAGTATCTCTGTACGTGCTAGATACAGTATAATAGTTCTCCCTTTTCAGACTACAGCAGAAATAAATCCAAATTCAATGAATTCCCTGTTCTTTCCTGGAAAGTCTAAGAATGTGTCTGAAATTATCCCACCATGATCATTTCAACCTTGATATGGTAGATGGTGTTGCCCTTCTCATGAAAATGCAAAAAAAAAACCTCAAACAAGGGATTGTGAAGCTTTGAGCATGAGACAGCTACTTTGTACCAAGGTTCAGGGGTGTTGCAAATGTGAAGTCAACGATGTTCTTCATGTTGATGAAAAATGAAAACTTCACTGAGAAAGAGGGGACTTTTTAATTTAATTCATTTTTCCAAAGGAAAAAAACACTTTGACAAAAATAATTGTTCCTCCTATATCAGGTATTTTACTTTATATTCTGTATCTGTTATAAAAGCAATATAAAAGAGGGAAATCACTTAGTTTTCACCGATTTCTGGGAAATCTGAACAACTTAATGAGAATTGTTGTCCATTATCAAACACTTACTATCAAGGGTACAGAAGGAACTTATCAAGATTTTTGAACTGTCAAAACTTTGGAGTCCAATATTTCAGGTTCTTCCAGAATTAATTCCAAAAGTTGCATCCTGTACTAAAAATATAAATTATCAGTTTCCTGCTCACTCTTGCTGTTACATCTATAACACTTCTAGGTATTGAAAAGATGACTATTTCACCTTTTTTGCTTTCATTAGCCATGTTTTTAGTGAAGAGTAGAACTGTATATTTGGTAAGGGCAAGGAATGCAACAGGGTATTTTTTAATTAGGGCTTAAGCTGCTTTAGTATTAGAAATTTTGGAATCCTGTCCTAAGGTACTGCATGCTGCAGGCATGCTATAACTGTGTATTTTTAACTTTCCATTACTCAGGGGCAGATTATATGATTTGTGAATAAGTTGCTTTACAGGTGAAGACATACCCAAGCAGCCCTCCTTTGGAGAAATCTGTGGTCCATCAGAGTGGATTATTTTGATTTCAGCCCCATAGCAGGTGGAACTGTACTGCTCTAGGACCTGAGGTGCACGTTTGTTCACTGCTGGACCCAAGGAAATAAAGCCCCTATAGAACCAAAGAAGATGGAGAATATGGTTCAGAGACATCAAAAGGTGGCTCTCATCTCACTTAAGCCAGTTATTGGAGAGAAACAGAATCTTACATGTGCCACCATGTTCAGCTATTAGCTGCACTGATTCAGCTCTCCATCATCATTTAGTCATTATGCAAGTTGTTATGCCCTAAGAAGTTCCTTCAAAACCAGAATTCTCTTCCCAGCTCACGTAAAAATCCTATTTCCTCTGTTTTGTTTCCCTGACTTGATCCTTAACCCCATGGGTTCCTCTCATTTCTTCTGTAGTCTTCACATTAGTCCTCTCAACCCTTCTACTACTATATGCATCTCTTCCCTGGTTTGTTGATGCTTTTATTCTGGCCTTTTAGGTCTGAGGTTCCCAAAAACATCCCATAAACTTCCAAAAGAATTGCATCTATACTGCAGGACGTTGTGCTGCATGGCATTAGGTAATTAATGTTGACTCCTCGCTCTATCTTGCTAGAATTCTTTCACTTAAGTTGGTTTGACATAGATTTTTACCTCAGTGACTGTCCACAATTATTTCAAAATTAGTTTCGTGCAGGGAATGTATTTTAATTAGCTAAATCTTTCAATTTAAAAGTAAATCTTAAAAAACTGAGCTTGGACACAAAAGTTCCCTAGGACAAAGGAAAAATAAGAGTTTGGTGGCAGTCACTGTGCAATGTTTTTCACAATTAATTTAGAAACAGGTATTATTTTAACTCCGATCTGCAGTATTTGCATAGCCAGGACAAACATAGTAGATAAGTAGAATTTTTTAGAGAAAGAGAAAAAAAATCTCTTGGAATGACATTTTGAAGTATTTTGTGTTCAAATTTGATTCATAATTAGGGATAAACATGAACTACTCTCATATTCTTTATTATATCATATAAGGGGAAACATATCAAATGCCAACTAATTGCGTCTGTGCCAAAAGGTAGTTTTATATTCCTTGTTGAGCGAGACAGAATAATAATTTCTCTGTTCTCTCCAAAAGAAATTTGATAAGAGAGCAGAAATCAATGGATAGATCGATATACGACCATCTTCACTAACAGTTTAAGAGGAATTTCTGGCAGTCCTTACACAAACAACAGTAGATTCTACCTGACAAAAAGTTAAAAAGTAAACTTACTTTACTTGTGAATCATTGATTTGAAAAGGTCTCTGGGTGTCTCAAAGGAAACTTGAGGAAGTCCAATAGTGTATGATCAGCAGAGAAGGGTAACTGAGAGGGGAGAGAAATTGAACATTCCACCACAATGGAAATATATTGTTAGCCACCTACTGTGGCCTAGGAAGCTGGCAAGAGCTAAGAGAGAAGATCAAAAATGTGTGGTGAAGTACGATGCTTCTGTGCTTGCATATATAAAGTGTTGCCCACTGCAATATCACTGTATGATTTTAAGGAAAGAGAGAAAATAATACAGGCAAAAGGAAGCAGAGATGCTGAGTATTTAACTGTGATGTCCGTATCTCGCAGAGCCTTACCTAAAACATGAAATCAAGTTGGCCAGGGTAGGAGCATTGGTCAGTGCAGGTGAAGTATCTGAATGCTGAATAACGATTGCTAGTGAGATTACAGCTGGGTACTTATTTGGGTGGTGGCACAAGGTGTGTTGTATCAATAAATTTTCAGTCAGCAGTGAAGCAGGAGGATGAGGACATAAAAATAACACAGCTTCAGAGATTTAAGTATGGGCAGAAAATAATAAATTAATGCTCAACCAAAACCATTTCCAACAGAATGTGTGAGGATCCTGAAAGGTCACTTTAACAGATAATCTCCCCAGTACAGAGACCTCGTTTTCCTAGGTGTTTATATCAAGTGGAGAAAAATGCAGTCTTAATCCTGAACTGAAGTTAACTGTGGCAGTAAAAGTACTACTAACGACAGCAACCTTGATTCAGGAGGAGAGATAAAGTTGAAGGATAATAAAAATGCCAGACTGATCGTGTCATGAGTAGCAAATCCATAAATGTGTGATCTGAATAGTGTTCATGTAAAGGAAGAAATTGGGGCAAATTTGGGAAAACATAATTAGAGAGTAATTAAACCCTACCTGTAGGATAGATAGATGAAAATGTTGCAATAAAAAAACCCTCACTGTTTTACATTTCCTCTCTTAGAAAAAATATGTCAGTTTATTATATCGATTTTAATGCTTTTACTTCACCAGTAGCTAAAAAGTGCTCGTGTAGCCAGGCAAAAATTACCGCCAGCTGAAAGACTGGGGTGCTGGCCGGGAGGCGAGAGAGAGGAGGTGCGGAGGAGAGGTATCACCAGCATTTTCTTTCTTGTGAGCCATTCAGGAGGGTGCGGGCAGGAGCAAGCCCTGCTTTCTGCCTTGCATACCTCGCGTCCTGCACGCCGGGAGTCGCAGTCAGGTAACAGATTGTAAGTCTGGGGTCGAGAGCAGACTGTTCATGATAGATCCTTCTAGTTTATCATCTTGGCATTGTTTCAAACACAGCTGGCAAAGGAATGCTGCAGAACCCTCCTTGTGCTAATTGGCTTTTTCTACCAGGGCGATCCCCATTTATAAAATGTGGTTTCCATAATAACCTAGTGAATAATCTCTGGGAAAAAAAAAAAGCACATCCCTCTCATGCATGAGAATCACCCATCAAAGCAGAAGGCAAAGTTTGATGAAGTCAACCTGCAAAGCGTAATGAGGATAACACGACATCAGCTAGATTTCCTCAAGGAGACAACTACGGTCAGAAAATCATTATACCAGTGGCTGTTAATAAGAGGGAGGAAAAATGATTCACAAACAAGTCGTGTAAGTTGCCTACAAGAGCACCGCAGGGAGGGGTCCTGTTACTCATTACGCTGCGCGTCAGCTCCAACGAGGCCAGAAGCACAGCAGAACAATGTCCATGACATCTTGGGTGGCCAAAGGTTTCTTACATTATTTGCACATTCATTGTGTGCTTGAAATTTTCTCAGAAAAGAAAGGAAGCCTTTGGGCCTGCCTGTGAGAGGCTTACTCCCCATACAAATTATACGACGTACTTCAATCACATATAAACGTATATGTACACCTTCACCGCCCCACAGAGGACTGGAGAAAGCATCTGTTTTCAGCACTGTTCCAGCTTATCGTTCAGAAGAGAGGCGGGAAGAATACTTAGGCTTATACCAAGATTGTCCCCTATTCCTTTTATTTGTATTTAATTTTGCAGGGACAAGGTTCATTTTGCACACAGTCCCAAAAAAGGAAAATTCTTTTATTCTGCAGTTTATTATTATAAATGCATGTGGAGTATGTCGTATGGTTTTTCAGGCTGCATGGAATGAAGTGAAAAGGAGTTTTCAATCTTTTAATGCTTCATGCTTGTGGAAGAGGCATAAGAAAACGGTCCATGGGGATCCTATATTATTATTTGAGGGATTTTTATTTTTCAGGCCTGGTCAGGTTTTATGACTGGCACGTTTCCGAGAATGCACCTCTCAAGCACTGAGGTTTATAATGATTTCTCCTTATGCTATTTATCTCACTTTTCCAGTCGCAGTGCATTTATCCTTGCACAGACTGAAGCATGACAGGAGAGGAGAGGAGACGTCAAAGAGATTCTGCCAAACAGAGGAATATGGATTTCCCGCTCCCCTCCCCAAAGGATATTTTCAAGAAGATGCAAGGGTTTGCAATGCACAAATACATTAGCAGTGCAAAGCAAACAGGAAAGGCTCTGACACTTGCTGAAGTTCTACCGAACTAGCTCAGATTGTGTACAGAGGGGGAGAAGGATTTGGGGCCTGGCAGTTTGCCTTAAAACGCACACATTTTACAGGCTGTCCTCTGTGCTTGCCCAGTAACTTCTCTTCCATCTACTACAACTCAGAAAATAATTTGCTTTCAACGAAAAATGAAAATACAAAGTGTTGATGCTCATCTGATTTTTGCAAAATCTAGACTTGCTGGATGATTTACTCCCTCCGTTTTTCTTTAGCTACATAGCACAGCAGCTATTTTCAGCATCTCTCTGCTGGAACACTGGCTGAGTAAATCATAGAAATATTTATCAACAATCCCAACTTCTTCCTTTAAATATTCACACAACAGATTTTTCAACACAACATTTGAGGAGGCGAGACTGTTGTTTATGCAAGAACATACTCATTCTGAGATAGGATATGGGACTTAACAAAATCTACTACACAATGCAGTGGCAGCGAAAGGCATTTGAACACAGTATTCTAAATAGTCAAATGTTGGGTCTTACATGCTTTTTTCCAAGTCAGAAAAAACACAGAGATTTTTAAACTTTAGATCTGCCTTTATGAACAGGTATAATCCTAGATGGGCAATAGAGAAGACAATATTTTCTACAAAAAATATTTTCAAATGAATTTTCAAAGGTACTAAAGGAGTTAGGTGCTCAAATCTTAATGGGTTGGCATAAGTAGATTCTGTAAGCTTCTTTGCAAATCACAGCCGTAATGTCCATAAAAGAAGGTCTATTTTGCAGCCAAGGCACTTAACTGGGACACGGTAGGTCTGAAATCCATGCCTGGCTCTGTCTGACTTTGCAAGTCACTTGCCCTCTCTGTGCCTCTGTTTCTCCTTCTGTGAAGCAGTACCGAAGTGTTCCTCAGCTGCACAAAACAGTGCTAAGGATGCAGTCAGTGTAAAATTCAGGGGACACACTTACTTAATTTAGAGTCATTTTCCACAGCTAGAAGTAAGAAGTGAGACTGGATGTAAGACTTACTATATACACACAGAAGAAAATTCATAATATTAATTATTCAGAAGAAAAAGAAATCAAGCAGGACTTATTGCTTCCCTGGTGAAAATATGACATAGAAGAGATTTCCTCAGAATTTTAAATAAGGGAAATGTTTCCTGCCAAACAGGAAAACTCAGTAATTATTATGAAATAGCTTCACTCTGTGAAGTAACGTCTAACCTCATCAAAAAAAGGCATGAATATAGACAAAATGAGAATGTGCATGATGCCAAACAATTTTACGACA